GGCAGGGTGCCCGCGGCCCCGCCCCCGGCCCGGCCCTGCCGGCGGGGAGAGGTGCGCTGGGTTAGCGCTGCCTCCACCGCCCCCCGCCCTCGGTGGGTAACGCGCCGGGGACGGGAGCGCTGCTTGGCCCCGGGGAAGACGCGGCGGGTCCAGCCGAGAAGAAAGCGGAAGGCCGGGCGTGCGCGTCGAAAGTTTGCCTGTCTGCGGAGGAGCAGCGTCCTTCAGGGCGGGTTGCGAAATGCGTTTTCCCTGCCTGTTATTTTTAGGTGGGAACAAATACCGCCCCTGCGCCGCTGGTTACCGGCGGGCTCGGGGGCGGCCCGGCAGCTACGGCCCTTGAGAAGCGGGTCCGGGCGCTTCTTCCAGCTGCTGGAGGCGCAGATCCTTCGGTGCTTCTCGGCAAGCTTCGTCGTAAGCTGGCTAAAAGCGTCTCTGCCCCGCTGGTTCTCCACTTTCATTCCTGGCCTCTCCCCTACCCCTGCCAGGCCTGAAAAACTGTTCCGTTTTATGTTGGAAATCTAAGCGCTGAGCGTTTTGGAGAACGGCAAGCGGGCATGTTGCAGCTCTTGAGTGAGCAACTGGAAACAGCTTTGTTGTATAATCAGTCGTCAAATACGTAGAGAAGTAAATGGTGAAATACAAGGTGCTCAGCAGTAAGCTAGCTTCAGATCACAACCTACCTGCGACGTGTTTTTAACCACATAAGAATAATCTTTCTATTAGGGATCCGATTTTATTATTTCAATGCAGCTTCAGGTCGGTGTAACCAAGGGTGTGATGAGGTTGATTCGGTGTCTTGCTCAATACCTCTACACTTACTACTGGTATTTAGTAGCATCTGTGCAACCATTATGCATTTTTCTACCTGTGTAAATTGTCTCATTTTGTTGGATTTATGTTTTGCAAAGTTACATTAAAGTTTCATGTCCCCCTGGCTTTACTTCTCACCTGCGAGAAGAGATTTCTGTGAAGCCTATGTTTATCCTTGTTGCAGTAATCATTCCACATGTCCTGTTATCCTGCCAAAGTAATTCTCTTCCATAAGTTGCCAACAGCTCCGTAGTTGGCTTTTTACTTCATGAGTACTAGGTGTCTTTGAAATATATAAAAAACATAGTGTTATTATCATGGTGGCCTATGCATGTAAGTGTGAAAGGATAGAAAGAGGAGTATCTTCCTTTTTTTAACCTGGCTGTTAATGTAGGGTGAGCTAAGTTTATATATGCAAAGTAAATACATGCAAAAGTTACAGTTACTCATAATAATGCTGATAAGCTCTGTGCTTTTCAGCAACAGTGTGTGCACATGGTCTGATAGCTGTGTGCAGTACTACTGTATTACAGTACATTTCTCAGTATACCTGGAACAAATTATCAAATGCTCTTCAGAAGAAAACCATCCTTTGTGCAAATAATCATTCTTGTACACTTTTGTACAGCATGTGGAAAATCTTTTTCACTTGCTGCATACAGGCGATATTCTTGCTAAGTGCAGAAGTGCCTCCCTAGCAGTCTTGGTGCACTTCAAGCTACGCATGACAAAGAGTGTAATCTAGAAAATGTTTTCTGCTTTGCAGAAGCTACGCCACAGAGCAGCATGATTGTGGACACTGCTTTGTGTGAGGAAAGCTTTGAATCAACACTCTGTAGCTAAGATTTTTGGTATTCAGACAGGTGACTCTTGGCAGTCCAAGATTAGGTGTTGACTCTTGTGTCAGATTATATGTGAAGGTGTTCAAACCTATTGTGATGAGGAGTGAAAGCAAACTCAGCAGATATTGTTAAAGCAGAATTTTTTTATGTATTATCTAGCCTAGACAGGTTTGGCTTTCTGGATGTTGCCTGAAGAAACACTGTCAATGTTAGATTAAACAGGAGTAGTTATAAAACATCATCTAGTATTTTGGGGGTACGTTATGCATTTTTTGCACAGTGCAAATAAGCTCTGTCCCCTCACCAACTTTTTTATCAACTGCTCTAAGCAGTTCAGACCCCACTGGTGCAATTACTAAGCATGTGGAAAAGCTGGGTGCTGAACTGTATTCTGCCAGAACTTGACCTTAAGGATGAAGCATGGGAAATGCTACAATTTGTTACCGATAGACGACAAATGGACCTGTCTGAATGGAGTTCCTATGGCTAGCAAGTGCTGTTTGCTTCCAGCTGTCACTAACTTTGATAGATCCCTAGAGGAGGGCTGCACATGAACTGGCTTAGGGTAACTTGCTAATGGTGCTATACAGAAATATCTTACAGGAATATGGGCACCTGATGACTTCAGCAAAACTGCTGAAGACTGTTGCTAAGTTTGACTGTTGACCAGCGGTTAGCAACTTGCAAACTGATCATCAGTATTTAGCTTAGTGCGACTGTGGCACACTACTCATGCCAAAGAACAGTGGTGGCATTGAAGAGATCATAAATACCGAGTCTAAATTGCATATCCATCTTGTCACTGGAAACAGTTGGTGTGCTGGCTCTGCAGGCAGTTCGTCAACAGCTTCAGTCCTTTAGAGCCTTAATTTATAAAAGACTGTTTTCACTATGTTTATGTCTTAAAACCAGGCAGAACAGTTGTGCTTGAAATCGCAGAAGCACCATCCATTATGCATTGTTTTTGCAGCACTAGTTTGAAAATCCACATTTGTTCTTTGCATCATATGCGGACAACTTACCGTTATGATAACAGCACCTGTTTTGTTAATCTGTACTTGTGAGATGTCACAGACAAATATATACAGCCTTTGAGCAGATATCAGCCGTGCATTTTTTTCCCCCAAAAAAAGAGTTGCATGCTAGACCTCAAAGGTAGTTAATTGCTACATATAAATGGCAAGTACTTCTATTTACCTTTCTGTTGCTGTGGACATTTTATGCGATGTAATATGGTGATGGATGTTGAGAGGGGATATGCTGTATTTGGTTCCGTGAGCTTGTCAGTGAAGATTTATCCTGATAACAAGTAGAGGCTGTATCAGGATCAGTTTTAAGCTTGGGCAAACTAGGCAGATGTGTATGGGAGCAAACTGCTAAGCTTGACAAAAATCATGGCCATAAAGCAGACAAGAGACCCTCTGGCCATGGCTCTGTGCTTGCCCTATGCAGAGCAGCCTCTCTGAGCACCATCTTTGTGGAGCAGCTCTCTAGTTACTCTTCTGCTTCCTGCATACTCAGCCTGCTACGTGATCGCCTCCTCTCTCCTACTGCTGCTAGGAAGACGAGCACTGCCACAAAAGTGTGAGGTTTTTCCCATGCCAGTAATGAGGACAAAATAAGGTTTTTATCCTCATTTTTGTGAGTGACAAATTTCAATTCTCCATATGCTTCTGAGACTGTGTCAGCTCTGACTGTTTATTACAACCCTGCCAAACCTTACATGTTTTTCATAAATTTAGTGAATGGATAGACAGCTTATGTAACCGAAGGCATTTTTTCTTAATAGATTTGTGCAGTATGGAAAAAGCCTTAATGCGGATAACGTACTGTGCTGCTGAGCTGGAGGCCTACGCTCCCTCCTGGAAGTAGACTTTCATCAATACCCAGTGTTTTATGTACATGCAAACATTTAAAAAACAAAGTTTGAGGAGCTAGAAAACTTTAAATTTGTAGACTTTCCAGATTTGATAGCTTCATGTGAGTAATACTAACAGAAAAGACTTTCTAAACCAAAATTCTAAGCATTTGATTCTGAAAAGCTTTTATATTGGTTTACTTTCATTATTATCAGATTAAATGGAAATAACTTGTGAGTAGCTTTTTTTTGCTAACCTTAAATCCGGAGCTTTAAAAATAAAAGGCAGTTTGTGGCTTGTGAGCTTTCCTTCACTGATTTCAGTGTATGCTTGAAAAGTTTTACTTAAAATCTCCTAATTTCATGCATTACTATACAGAGAGGCCTAAGATCTGGCCTTATAGAACCTCAAAAGGTTTCTTTTAGTCTTACAGGTTGTCCCATGTGTGAGAAGTTGAACATGATCTCATTTATAACTTGAAACTTGTTCTTTCCAGCAGAATTTCCTTGCAGCCGCTGAGTCTTTTCACAGATGTAGGGGCTTGCTTTCATGCACCTCATGGCTGCTGTAGGCCCTTTGTTTATGGCAAGTAATTTTCTAGGCGGCAAACATTAACTTTGTCTCAAATTCTTCTCCCTGCAGGAAGCTGCACAAGCCTTGATTTATGCTGGAATGGCAGGGTCCAACTTGGAAAATATTCAAGAAAAAATAAATGAGTACTTGGAGAGAGTTCAAGCTCTCCATTCAGCAGGTGGGTAAGGAGCTTTCTAATTAAACCTCTGCTTAAATTAATTGACTGGAAAGCCTTTCGGTGCTGTGAGATATGTATTGATGATGTTTGCTCTGGTTTTCGTTATTCTCATTTTCTCATCCTTTGTGAAGGACCACAAATACAATGAGCACATCAGTGCTTTGAATTCTGATAGACTGGAAATGAAGCGGAGACTTACTTCCTAAGGACTTGGGTGCGGGTATTCTTTCCTTTTAACTATTCTTAGGAACCACATCTGCAGAGCAAACCTGAGAAAGTCGTTAAATATAGCAACAAAAATTGATCAGGCACAAATCAAAACTTGCATCTAAGCTGCATGATGGATTTGAATCAAGTGGGTTCTGGTATTTATGTAAGATTACTAAATTTGAGAGGGCAAAAGAGCTCTTTGCTTTCATAAGGGTTTCCTTGTTTGATCCAGTTTCAGTGTTTGTGCTTAGACCAAAATCTCAAATTTTTGCACACTTGCAATTCTCAGTTAGAATCATAGACTCCCTTGGCCAAAAAAGGACCTTGGGAGGTCTATAGACCAATCTCCTGCTCAAAGCAGGGTAGACATTGATTTTTGAAGCAGGTTGCTCAGGTGCGGTTAAGTCCTGAAAACGCCTAAGGACAGAAATTCCCTGGTGCCTCTGGGCCCCTGTTCTAGGGTGCAATTGTCTTTCTAGTGAATTTTTTTTTTAACATATCTAGTTGGATTGTCCCCCGTTTCAGTTCATAGTCACTGGCTCTCATTCCCTTTCTTTGCACCACAGTGAAGTGCCTGAATCCATTTTCTTGATAACCTCGCAGTTACTGGCAGTTGCTATTTAGAGATGGCTTTGGGAAGCCTGGCTGGACAAGCCCTGCTCCTTCAGCTTCTTCTCAAAAGGCCAAATCCTCCAGCCCCAACCATCATTAGGGACCCAAGACTGGATGTAGCATTTCATCTGCTATTAGTCTGCTGAGTGCAGAGCAGAGGGTGGTAATTGCTTCCCCCCCATCTCCTGGCTGTGCTCCTGCTGACACAGCCCAGGGTACTGTTAGCCTTCATCGCTGCCAGGAGTCTGCTGGCTTGGGCTTACCCAGCTGTCCCCCAGGACCCCAGGCTCTTCTCCGCAGAGCTGTACCCTGCAGGGCGTTAGTCTGTCCCAGACACAGGGTATAGCATTTGTCCTGGTTGAATTTCCTGAGGTTCCTGTCAGCCTGTTACTTTAGCTTGTCTGTGTCCCTTTGAATAGCAGCTGTGTCCGTGAGGGAATTGGTTTGGTGGGGTCTGCAGCCTTGATGAAGGCGCTCTCCGTCTTCTCCTTCAGGTCGTTATTAAAGATACTAAATGAGATAGACACCTAAGGAACTTGTATATTACCATAGGTGATATGTTTTCACAAATGATGCAGTATTTTACGTAATTAAACATCCTTGTCCTTAGTGTAGTATGAAAGAGATTTTATTTACATTATTTGACGTGAAATATCCTGAGAGTGTATCTCTGCTTGGGGGGGGGGAGGAGGTGTTTTCCTGTCCTTGCAAAGATGTTTTTAGCAAAGTTTAGAAAGACTTAATATCCAGCCAAGAAATAGATATTACCTGTCTGATTAGACCTGCTAGTGTTTCAGTACCATGTTAAGGACGTTTTTACATGTCTGCTGCTGTAGAAAGCTAAATACTTTCTTTTTCATTTAGTTCAGTCACAGAACACAGACCCTCTGAAGTCAAAACAACAGTTGGACTTGGAGCGTGCTCACTTCCTAGTTACACAGGCTTTTGATGAAGATGATAAAGGCAATGCAGAAGAAGCGATAGAGTTGTACACAGAAGCGGTGGAACTCTGTTTGAAAACAGTATGTTAAGCTACAGGTTAACTTGGTGGAATTATGTGATGGTAAGAAATCCTTCCACTTACACAAGTGACTGACCCTTAAAGGCTGGCTTAAAAATGGAGTACCTGTATTTCTAAAAATTATTTTTTTAACCTTTTTTTCCACTGTTTTTTAGTGTTTCTTCCAGTCTTTGTTATATTGCTAGTCAACACTAAATTTATGGGGACTTGTGATTTATGTGTTTTTCCTGGACTAAAAACTAGAAATATCCTGGAACTTTTTTCATGTTAATTTTTGCCCTGGAGCAAATGCAATACTAAAACAGAAATTAAAAACAGTTTAAACTGAAGATGACTTGCTAATGTGTCCGTTATGTTACTTTCTGACTACATTAAAGGAAGTAATTTAAGGGAAATTTTTGTGTGTAACACTTTCTGAAAACATAAGAGTCTACTGATGCCAAAACTAGTAAAAATACTACTTGATTACTCAGTGCTCAACATTAAAGCCGTTATGAGTGAATTCAATTCACGCTGAAACTAATGGTAAGGATGAATTGGCCATTACGTAAATGATGGAGAATATAATTACAGGTACTGCTTTTTTCCCTTAAGTCTAGTTGCCTTAACTAACTCATTACAGGAAGAGCTCACCATCATAATGTAACTCCACCAAGTCTGTTTTTCTTTTTCCCTTCTTTTCCCTTCTTATAATGTAAATATATGTGGGTTGTTGGGAGGGGATTGTTATTTTTGCTAGATGCTAGAGTAAAATCTTCTTTTCCCTGAATTCTGTAAACTGGTTTTATGTAGGCTAAAAAACCCTGGTGATACAGTGTAACCAGATCAAGAGTTAGTAAAACTGCTCTAGTTTTTCCGCTTGAGCTGTTGGAGCAGAACATTTTCAGCCTATTACATAAAATTTACCGCAGCAGCTTACTGTTTTTCCTCTGCTGTGTTCCTCCTTCTGTTGTGCCAGTGCATGCAAATATTGCTTACATATATTGAAGTTAGTCTGCAATTATCTCATATTAACAACTGCTTTTATCGGGTATTTCATTAGGTACGCAACTGCTGAAGTTTCTTTTAATCTTGACTAGCATATTATTTTGTTAAGATGACTGTAGGCTTTATCCCTGGGAGTGATCAAAAACTACCTTCTGCTTCCCAGGATGAAAGAAGATTGAAGGAACTCTGCTATCTTGAAGCTTTGCTTCTGTCTTTCTCCTCACTATATTCAGGTGGAGAGATTTGTTTCTTCCTTACCCTTGGAAGTACTCAAAGAGCAGCCATTCTTCCTTTTCTATGGCTGGCTCCTAGATGGGTCTGCTGATGTTCCATCTCCACCGCTTACCTTCATACAGCTTTCAAAGTCTTTTCCAACCAGGAACTCCGCAGTGTAATTTATTTGAAAATGAAAATAGTTGCTTACAGAGGGTGTTTCTAGTTTTGTTTCTTGGGGTGAAAATAGCTTGCCTTTTGTTTCCTCAGTTGACCTAGCTGACCGGGGAGAATTGGTCAAGGTACAAAGCTAGAAGCTGAAACCTTCTTCTGGGTGTCGCAGGAGAAGCCACACCTCATGTTGTGCCTCTTGCAGATTGCTTAGCTGCAGTAGCCATGCTTCCTCTGTAAGGAAAACAAAAGCGTGAACTGGTTGTATGAGTAAACTGTCATGGCTGACCTCCTAACTGGGAATGGAAGTTAGCACTCTGGATCCTCTGTTTTGATGCCCTGGCATAGATTATTTTATGCCTTAGATGTACAAGAACAAGATTTTTAACTTGCAAGCAATCTTGTTTGCTTGTATTTTATGAAAGTAAACATTCAAGCTTAATTTTTTCCTAAGTTACCGTGATTATTTTTGACTCATTTGGGGAAAAGAATTGGAACACATCTAAGCTCAGTAGTATACCTAACATTTGTTTTTGTCTTCTTTCTGCCCATAGTGTTTTAATAGGGTTAGTTCTGGCAGGTTTTTTGTGTATACAATGTTGCCCATGCTGAAGAATTTTAAACATCACTTTTGTTCCATGACTGTTCACTAAAACAGCAAAATGATATTTGCTTACTTAGTATGCTTTTTACGCTGAGATGCTTTTTATGCTCATTTCAAAAGAGAATTGGAAAAAATAGCTAGTTACTGTTTGCTGTAATCTGTAAGTGTGAAATTTGACAAACTGAGTCTATAAAACCTGCAGTTTTTTTGGATGTCTAGCTTTTTCTTTTATTTTTACTTAAGGCTACTGAAACTTCAGAAGCAGGCCTCCAGTCAAAACTGAAACAGCTGGCTCGACAAGCACTGGATAGGTGAGTATTGCCAATGTTAGTAAACACACTTGCTGTCAGGGATAAGTGCACTCTCTGAGTTGGATTCTCAGTCTAGCGTGTCCGTTCTGTACTGCAAAGAGTGTGGGTTCTGCATAGACCTAGCTCCTGTAGAGTTCTGGCAGACAGCTGCCGGCTGCTATACCGCTGAATAGAGTAGCTGTTGTGCCAGCCCTCTGGGAATCTTGGGACATGCAGAATTAGGGAAGGACTGTGTATTCGTTAGTACCAATGCACTACTTCAGTCTTCAGAGATATAAATCGGAGTACTATATTACAATTTTTGGCTTCTATAAAAATGCTGAATTCAGGCCAGCACTAAGTCAGGATGTCAGCGTCCCTTCATAAGGAAGACAGCTTGGAAACTGGGAAAAACTTCTCTTGACAATAGCAATCGAATTGTATGGGTAGATCTAATGGAATGGAGTCTATATCTGAAACAAGTTACAAGAGTGGAAGTTCAATGTAACTCTTTTTAAATCAGCTGTACGATGGCAAATAACAGACTACGTTGGGCTAAGTTTTGGTATAAGCTGGTTTTCAGCACTTCTCAATCTGTGTTCAAAAAAACCACCATATTTTGCATATGTATGACTATCCAGCAGCTTAATGCAACAACAACAAAATATGGCTCCTGAATACACAGTCTTCAAGCAGTTGAAATGCTGGGTTGTGAGAATGCCAGTGGATTTTTACTGCTATTGTAGCTGCTAGACAAATTAAATCCTGAAGGTATGAGAGGACGTAAGTCAGTTTTCTCTCTCTGTGTTTCAGTGGTCTTGTGCTGAGGTTCCAGATGATGAATGCTTACACAAGTTCTCCTGTTAGCATAATTTAAAGGCAACAAAAATCTAACGAGTTCTGCAAAAATTAGCTTATATGTTAGTTGGCAATGCTATATTTTAATTGTTTCTAGAACAGGAAAATAAAGAATACTGGCATCAGGAATTGATTTTTCTTAGGAAAAGTGGTGTTGGTCAACTTGGGCATTTGTTCATTCCATTTAACATATGTGTGAACATGAACCAAGCAAATCAGTAACTGAATCATAACTATATTTTTATCATTGGTGTAAACAAAATGCATTTTTATTTGCTTTAGAGCAGAGGCACTGAAGGAATCTGTGTCAAAGTCATCTCAGAAGGAGAAGTCGTCTGCAGCTAAACCAAATCAGCCAGTCAGAACATTCTTTCCATTGGGACCTGATTTTTCTTTAAATGATAAACCGCAGACAATCAGAGCAGTACAAGCTAGTGAATCTCAAGGTCAGAGATACACTGCAGAGGAGATTGAAGTCCTCAGGTAAGTTGAAGACAAGTTTTTCCAAAATGTTATCATTTGTGCTTACATCCTTTGTGCATCTTACACAGTAGCTTGAAACAACTGAAGCATGAGGTATATAAACAGAGGGTCAGAAAACCACCTCTTACAAACCCCGTTGCTGGTATTACCTACACATTAATAAATTCTTTTATTCTCTACGCTAATGTAATTAGTGGCTTTTATTCGCAGAGCGTACTTTCTAGTTTATATTTAGAAGACAATTTGTTGTAACTGACTGCCAGGATTATTTTTCATAGCCTTATTTTTGTATGTTATACATCACCTACCTGACTGAGTTCATGAAAGATCTGGCTCTGAGAAGCCAAGGTACAAAGATGTTTTTATAGCTTATACAGCTACTACTTCATTGGAAATTGAGGACGCATGATATTTTGTAGGACTGTGACTTCTGTTACATCCAGTTCCTTTTGCGTTGATTTTTATTATAGGTAGAATAAATTACAAATAATCCATAAAACCTTTAGCCTAAATTGTGAATTTTGAAAACTATCAAATATATCTTAAAAAAAAAAAATGCATTCTCTGATAGGTGTTTCAGCCTTCCTCCCCATGCAATATAAAAGATTGTGACAGAGGTGATGCTCGACACTGCCCAGGATTTGATCATAAAACATTTAGTCTGCTTGTTGAGTTTAGGGGACTTAAATGAACTGAGGATATGGTCATGAAGATAGAAATGTACGTGTGTTGGAAAAGTTGCAGAGCATTAAGAACTGCCTTACTAAAATGTCACTTTTTTTTCCTCTGGTAGTGTCTGTGCAGTGAATGTTTCTGGTTTTGTGGATGGTTTGGGTGTTTGGGGGGGTGGGGGGCGATGTCAGGGGTTTTTTTGTTGTTTCAGTCTTGCAAGAGAGCTTCAAGCTGTTTCAAATCTTTAATCATCATTTGATTTAAAAATATTTCACAGACCTTTTTCAGTTAACTCCTTGTTTGAAACTTAAGTCACATTCACATTTAAATATGATTGTCATTTTTTAGAACGTGTTCTGTGCACTTTAGTCAAAAATGTACTAATAAACGTGCAGTATTTTTGTTATTGTTGCTTGACAAAGTGTTCCAAAATACTGCCCCAATTAGATGAAATCTAAGTATTGCTAATTGTTAATTGCTGTCAGCTTATCCTAAGACTCTCTTTAATGAGAGGCTTAAGTGACTTGAGAAATTCTGTTTAGGCAAATGTAGTTTTAAATGTGACTTCTTGAACTACGAAGAGGTTTGTGGCTGATAATCATTTCTATCCTGGCATGGTGACTTCTCTGCAGGTATGTACTTGGAGGATTAATGACTGAGCCATCAAGTACTGCACATTTCCAACCCAAATAAATACAGTGGTTGTTTCATTTTCAAGAGGTAATTGTCTTGTTTTCAGAAGCACTGTGTCTTGTGAGTTTTTAAAAACTAATTTTGTGGTTACGTTCTGGAACTTAGTCTTTGAAAGATGATAGATAGGTTTGTAACTATGATTTTTTTTTCTTATTATTTGCAGGAAAACTTCAAAAATTAATGGCATTGAATATGTACCTTTCATGAGTGTTGATCTGAGGGAACGTTTTGCCTTCCCTATGCCATTTTCGTAAGTGTGATTCAATTACTGAACTTTCCTTTTGTTTTTATTTCCAAAGTTTTCCCATGTTTGGTATTTCTATGTTTTCTTTTTCAAAGTTTAAAATTGTTTAAGTAGGCTTGTAAGCATAATTCAGGCAGAGAGATGTAAATACTACCACTTCCTTCTTCCAGTCTGATCTTAAAACTTCAATGTAAGCTGATCCTGCCGTGCAGTGCTTTTGCAGTTGTGTCTTCAGGCCTAGAAGGAGAACATTATATTTGGCTTTTTGGAGTATTGGGCTGGGCTGGCAACTTGGGTCCATTTCCGGATTCTGCTGCATGCTAATGAGTTTAGCTCCCTCTGCCTCACTAACCCGTAAAATGAAGGTGATAGCCATTTCCTCTGTAAAGGACTATTCCAAGGAAGAGTTTGCTACACCTTCATTCATGAGCAATAATAATATGTTAAGATTACATAGCCATAATAGACAAAGACGCTTGGGGTTGTCTGGGGTTTTGGTTCGTGTTGGTTTTTTTGTTTTGTTTTTGTTTTTTTTTTCCAATTTTCCGCTAAGGGCTTGTCAATCAGACAAGCCTTGATATCTTCAGAACTAAAGAAACTTTTTATTAGTTCATCATATTGAAATAAAGTGAAGAATTTGAGTTTCTGCTGGTGTAGATGGCTTTTTGGAATTCCCTTCTCCTGTTCAGTCCTGTATGAAGGAAGCTCTTGGGGTTTATTTCATGTTTTTAATATTTTTGCTTTTTTTCCCTAGAAATCACAAACTTAACAGTAGTGTTCTTCGAAATTTTTTTACAGCTCTGTATACAAAGCTGTGTAATTGTTCTGCACGTATTTTGCACTATCTATCAGATATATATAGGACCAGACATACCATGAAAAGCTTTTCTAAACTGCTATTGGTTTATTTCTAATATTGATTTATTTCTACTTTTTTCTCTCTTAAATCTAGTGATAAATGTGGGAAGTTACCATTATCCCCCAAACAGAAAGCAATGTTTGGCAAATGGGTGCGACCAGATGACATAACAAATAACCCTACGATGATTTATACTGTATCAAGTTTCAGCATAAAGCAGGTAAATTGTTCCTAAAGATAAATGTGTGCTGCTAGCAGTTTATTGCAGGGGACCTTCTTGTTCAAAAAGGAGTCCCCAGATGTGAGGGTGCTTTCCTTGGTTCTCATGAGATTAAATAAATAAATAGATAGTATCGCTTCAGATTCCATCCATTTTCTAGCCATGAGAATAAACAGGTGTGTTAGCAGTGAAGTGAAAATCAGAATTTGAATTCAAGCTGAAAATCCTGTTTTCCAGAAATAGCGGTAGGGTTAGTATGAAAAAAGACAAGGTGTACTCTGCAGCAAATTGTTTGTTTGATTTACTGCATGGAAAAACTAATGAGCAAGATTTTTAAATTTTTATTTGACAGGAGCAGAGTGGCCCATTGAGAATAGCGGAAATATCGTGCTTAGTGTTAAGTTGCAGATGGCCCTAGCTATTCTGAAATCAGCAGTAGATTATGCCATTGGATATGGTTTATATTACACAGTGTGTTTTGGGGAGAAGGGAGTAAGTGTGAAGGAATGCTGAGGTATCTGCACTTGCCTCCAATTGTCATTAATATTTCTAACTCTGGTTTGCTCTGCAGGGGCCTCATGTTGGGCAAGCATACATTTCATGCCTTTTTAGTAGTAACTTTGCTTCTCTTGGTTCAAATCTTTCCCTTTTGAAGGGAATTACTAACTGACAATTTTCCTTCCCTCCACACACCCTGTTTGTTTTCCAGTATCTAAGTTATTAGTAAATGTCCTCACTGGTTTTCTTTTCTTTATAGACAATAGTGTCAGATTGTTCTTTCGTGGCATCACTAGCTATCAGTGCAGCATATGAAAGAAGATATAACAAAAAATTGATCACAAGGTAAGTAGCTGTTGCTTTCTAAGATCTTTTCAGACTTGATACTGCCAAGCTTTTGCAATGGACAGCTGGACACAGTAAAACCTAGCATTTGTTTCACCTTCATCTCCCTGGGACTTGTGTGGCTTCAGCACTTCTGAGAGGGAAGCCAAATTTATGTAGATATGTATACAGACACTGGAGTCTAAATTCAGATGTGCTTTGAGGAGCAAGAAATAGTTTGGAAGGTTTTGTTTGGTTTTTAATAGAAATTTTATTTACAATGCTTTATAGGTTTATTTTCCTACTTTGCTGTGCCAACTGCTGTGCAACAGGTGGTCCATCTTGCATCTCATTGCAGAATTAACATTAACAACACTCTCTGGGTTCCACTCGACTGGTGTCCTGTGATAAATTTGGCACGGGTTTGGCAGACCCTGCCGGGAGCCCATTGCCACACCAGTGTGTGAATGTTGTTCCTGGATTTTTTTGTTTTAACCTATACTCGTTAGAACTGAACTGGTATTCTTTTCAAGAGCAGTGAGTTCTACACTGTCTTCTCCTTCAAATGTTTGACTTGTCATTCAGACAAATACTGTATTTATACTACAGATATGTAAATACCGTTTGTGTAATAGTAAGATGAATTTGATTGCCTTGCTTCTGTTGGAGAAACAATTAGGTTACTTATGTTCTTTTTGCTACTGTATTAAGCAGAGAACTGCAGCAAGAGCAAGGCCTGAAAGATAAAACCTCTTTAAACATCATTGTCATTTTTACTAAATTTGAGTTGCTCTTTCATTAAAAATTCCATATTTATGTTCAGTATAAATTCTAGAAACAGACTATGTTAATCCCACTTTTATTGTTATCAGTGTATGTACAGCCAAGTTGTTTATGTCACAATTTCCTCTTCTTTTTTTTTTTTTATAACAGTATAATTTACCCACAGAATAAGAAAGGAGAACCAGAATATAATCCATGTGGCAAATACATGGTGAAGCTTCATATCAATGGTGTACCTAGAAAGGTAAATGGTTTTGGGGAGACTTAATACTGTTACTGTTTAAGTCATATATTTTAAAGGCTTGGTCTGCTTCACTGTGAAGCTATGCTTGCATAGCAAAAACTTTAGATACGTTTTGTTGGAAAGTGGGTTTTAATTGTTAAACCTTTTGAGATTCATTTTGGTTGTGAAGTATGTAACAATGTAGGTATTTCTTCTACGGACAAATGAAAATAGCGTTGCTCACATTAAATTCACGAAAAAATCCTTATATTGCTTAAAAGAATTACGAAAACTATACAGGAACAAAATTATGCATCCCATATTTATGAATAGGGTGTGCAAGTAATCCACTTTTCCGCTCCATGTTAGAAAGGAACTTACAAAACTAAAAGTACAGAGGGGGACATCCAGGAAGAGTATAGACATGGAATGACCATAGAGGAATAACTCAAATGACCACAGATCCTTAGTAAGGAGAGGAGATACCTGAAGATACGTGATAGAACTTCATAAACTGACAACCAACTTCATTTTCTTTTCAGTGCAATAAACAAGGGCATAAAATAATGTATTTCTTCATATAGTACTTAACTGTAGCACTGATTATTGCAGATCATAGTGACTGATGAATGTTTGTGGGAATTCAAAAGTTGAGTGGTCATATTCATGGGACGAGGGAGTAAGGGGAAAGTCCTCAAAGGCTATTAATTGTTAAGTTATAACCTCTGGGTCAGGAAGTCCTTGAGTTGCAAAATTCCGGAATCTGAAAGTATAATTTATGTCCTTGCCTTGCTTTTAATACTCTTTCCAAAATATCTCCTAATGGCTGCCTTTCGTTAGGATGAATGGCCATTTGCTCTTCTATGAAAAGAATTATTCATTCCTGCACAGATTGGATTGGACCAGAAAATGTGCTGTGTTGGTAGCCTGTATTGGTAGTGGACTAATGCCAATGTGGAACTGAAACATCTGTTCTGGGAAACTGTTTCAGACCACTACAAATACTGCAGTAACAATCTGTAATAATGCCGAATATATTCTACCTAATTTAAAGAAGAAATGTTAATACTTTCACAACTGCTGTTTTGGGTTGTTTTTCCTTTCCAGAGAGAAGAAATTTAAATCTGGAACTAGAGACTGTGAAAGTGATGTGACACATAGTTTGTTTCCTTATAGATAAATAAGTGTTTATTTTTCTGCTGGCTACCAAGCAGAGTCCATACTCTGTTTCCTAATTAGGTGAGGAATGTTGTTAGGCTTTTCTTTACTTTTTATGCTGGTAATTACACTGAATTTTTCTGCGGCTACCTTTTACAATAGATATTAGACGCTTTACAAGAGCGTACCGTCATCATCCCCATTTTACATAGGGGAAAGCAAAGCAAGTGATCACGGGTCACCCAGTAGACCAGCGCAAGTAAGAGCTGGCAATAGAATTTCTTGTTCACTTGGGCAAACCACTGCAGGATTGATAGAGGTGTCCGTATGTGAGAACGATGGTCAGGTCTGGCTGTGTCTGAGAAGCTGTATGTTAATGAGAGTTTAGTTTTATTTTTTAAATACTTCCAAAATACTTTATTAGCTTTATGATGATTTGTCATTTGTTTATTTCACGCAGGTAATCATAGATGACCAGTTACCTGTTGATCATAGTGGAGAACTTCTCTGCTCTTATTCTAACAATAAGAATGAATTATGGGTATCACTAATAGAAAAGGCTTACATGAAGGTCATGGGAGGATATGATTTTCCTGGATCAAATTCTGTAAGTACTAGATTATTTCTAAGAGGCAAAAGTTCCACGTATATAATCTTGGGTCAAATAATTTTCCTTCTAGTGAAATCAAAGTGAATTGCTTGGGGAAGCAAGTACTGGATTTGATGTTTTCTTAAATTTTTTTCTATAACTTTTTTTCACAAATACACTTAGCTGTACTTAATGAGATTTATTCCATCAAAATAGAATGAGCAAGACATCTTGATGAGCAGAGTTAATCTGGGTTCTCTGACTGCAGGATTGACACTTATGGTTGGGAAGGGTATGTGTTTGTATAGAGTCTAGATGAAAATGTTGGGTGAAATCATAAATTTTTTTGCCTGTATCAATACTGCTGATTTGTTGTTCAATATATAGGGCAGTTCTCCCTCATTAGGTAGGGGAGACAGCTAGGAAAGGAACAGGCTAGTCGTTTAGTAGATGTATATAGAGGGAGCAAGTACTTTGATCTGTGCAGGTTTGTTTATCAGATTGTTCCACTCATTTACATAAATATGTATTGGGTTCCTATAATGTGGTTACTAAAGAAACAGTCATCATACTGCAGCTAGGCTGACATGCAAATTATTCTTCAAAGAGGGACGGTTTACTGAAATGAGTAGCCCACATAATTTTTAATTTGCTACTTAGGAAGCATTTCTGATTTTAATTTGAAATTCTTTAAAATTTTAACACTATATTTTTGATTTCATGGTGCTGTTCGCATTCTAGTTGGTGTCTTGATAATCGCATTCTTGGAGGGTATACTAGGTAATAATCACCTCTTGAAAAATTATTTGGAGACAAATGTGACTTTGTATAAGGGGTAAATGTAGCATACGGTTTCATGTGTGTTTATGTCGATGTTGGGCTGCTTTGTTTTGGAGGACGGAAGCTGGTGAGAATAGCTGTGTTTTATTCCCACTGTCGTCTTCTAACTTGCTATCTGGAAAAACAACTTGACTTGTGACGTTTTGTCTCCACCCTTCCCGCCCCCTCTGCTTTCGACTGTATTCTAGCTTCCTTGTATAATCAGGGTTCCTTACTGGCTGTGTTGTACTTGTAATTCCTCAAGTTCCCACCCACCGGTGCTGGTTATTGACACTTCAAGCATTTACAGTCTCTGCTTTTGCTTTGAGAAGTACAAAGCAAAAGAAAAGTGACTAAGCAGTATTTCAAGGAGATGAAATGGGGAGATTAAAGCATCTTTTTATGGAAATATATGTCAGTGTCAGCTTTACCAAAAAGAATAAAAAAACCCCAAACCCTGAGCCTTAGAAGTAAAACTTTAAATTATTTAAAATGCATATATAATAGCAAGATTCCAAATAGTGCTTCTGAGACTGTGCTTTAAAAGTCTGTGAATCAACAAAATTAGTAGAACACATCATAGGACTGAGCATGATTGATCATTCTGTTATGCTTCCGTTGCTCTGAAATTCCAGTTTGTTTCGTCAGTTCACTTTCCAGCTTCTTTTTTTTTTTTTTGAGGCTATTTGGAAATGTTGTCCTAAACTAATCAAATTAGGTTTTGTTTGTTTGTTTTTTTAATATAGTCTTAATCTTGAGCCCTTTATGTGTAGAGCTGTATTGTAACTTGTGTGTACTTGATTTCTTTCAAGGTGCTTTTATAATTTGTGTACAGACATCGTATGCTTATAGATGGATATCTATTCTGATTTCTTTTGAATGCTTGCATTTCAGAATATTGATCTCCATGCACTGACTGGTTGGATACCTGAAAGAATTGCTATGCACTCTGACAATCAAGCTTTCAATAAAGATAGTACTTTCAGAATGCTTTATCAGAGGTAGAAGTTTGTTCTTTCCTAAGTAATTAAAATGCTTTCTGTGTAGTAGCTGCATTACCACTGTAAAAGCAGTACAGTCACCACAGACCCTTCAATTACATTTTGGTACTGCTACAAATTGTGCTTTGTAAAACCTCTATATGCTTTCTGGAAGAAGAAAATTTGAGGTATTGATGGCTTTGATAGAACACAAGAGTAAAATACTGTGGAATTTTGTTTGAGGTGATTTTTCGTCTTTACATATGAAGAAAAAAAAACAGTAGCCCATTTCTTGATGAAGAAAATAGAACACAGAGTCAGAGAAGAGCAGCTTGGAAGCAATATACAAGTTAAAAGTGTTTAAAAAGTAGAAGGAAATGTGTTCTGTGTTCCCACACAGTTCCCCAGAACTTTGGCATTGATCTGCTGTCCTTAGCAAGCAGAAAGAATATAGTATTTGTAATCATATCGCAAGATCTTGGTTATTATGCCCCATTAGTAAATCTCCTGGAGGAGCAGCAAATGTCTATCAAAACTGCAATACTTATCTTCAGACCTACCATAACAATTCTACTTATGGTGAAAGATATAGCTGTAATTTATAAATGTCAGCTAGCAAGTGCTTTGATTTCTTTCAAAACGGTTTTGTGCAACCAGTTTGTTACACATTTCAGTGCAGTAGAAGGGGGATATTCTGTGGACTGAAACATATGCATTCATGATAAAAGAGCATGACTCTCCTTCTGCTGTGCTTTTTCAGTTGGTTAGGAGCTCTCAGTTGATTGTCAACAACTTTTAAAATATTCCAGCGTTGCAATTTGGACGTGTGACTGCAATTAGGATGGGATCTAGCCATGACAGCATCGCTGTTGTTCACCTGTGCTAAACTGAAAATCTGTCGATCCATAGTCCAGTGACCCTGTAAACTGTCTAGGGACACTGAGTATGTACTTGGATTTTAGCATGGGCTGGGAAACATGTTAGTGTCTTCTCACAACAATAATTGTTGCGAAATTAACAATTGCAATTCAGAGCAATTGCAGAAGTCGGTTGTTGTGAGTTGACAACTCAGGCCCTGAAAGGCCTATGCTGGGGGACACAAAACCTTTAGTGTAAACACCTGCAAAAGTATAGAAGCATGAACTTCTCATTCTTCAGGTTTTGGGAAGCTCCTTCAGAATCCTGGGGGTGTGACAGGGTTGTTAATTTGCTATATGCAGTGGTTGGCTAAGTGTTGATGAAACCACATTTGTGTTCAGTTGAAGATCTGTGAAGAGTATCTTTAAAAAGTGACACAGATTGAACTTCAGGTTGACAAATGCTGATTTTTATTTATAAAAAGTATGAAATTACATGAAAATAATTTTTCACTTAAAGCCTATACTTAAATACTGAAAGAAAATAGTTCTGCTTTTACAGGAGTGATTTCTGCTGACAAAAAAAACCCCTGTATTCGAGTTTTTATAAAGCAGGGTCACGCTAATGGACAGTGTAAAAACATACTATTACAGTGTCTGGCAAATGTCAGTTTGCAACTTGCAAGATTTTAATTAAGCTCTTTTTCACCTCTTTTTTTGAACAGATTTCACAAGGGAGATGTCCTTATCACAACAGCAACAGGGGTGATGTCTGAAGAGGAAGGAGAAAAATGGGGTTTAGTTCCAACCCATGCTTACGCAGTCTTGGATATAAGAGAATACAAGGTATCAAGTAAAACTGAAGATGTTTTCGGATGCCTGTTTGAAACCTATCTGTGATGGGTAGCTACTGATTTTTTGCTCTAATGGCTAATAGAATTTATTTTGTCTTGAGCTCCATTGGGAAATTCCAGAAAGCTTAATGATGCTGTATTTTCTTGAGATATTGGTCCATATTCCATGTTAATATAAAAATAAAAATTATCTTGACAGGATGAATCCAGCAATTTTATTTTGTATTTCTTTAGGGACTTCGATTTCTTCAGTTGAAAAATCCCTGGAGCCACTTACGTTGGAAGGGACGATACAGTGAAAATGACACAAGAAATTGGACCCCAGATTTACAAAGATACTTGAACTTTGATCCAAGAACAGCTCAGAAAATAGACAATGGTAATAAAGTTTAAAAAGTCACTGTCTTTTCAGATAATCTAAATCTTTGTGGTGTATCCCTGCAGGAAGGTGGAAAGAAATGCATAAGCACAAGGAGAGGGAGAGTAAAACAAATACTAGAAACTAAATAGCCCAAAAGTTTAGGGAGTGTTTGTGGATTTAAATCTGTCATTTCAGGTTTGTCTGGGGTTTAAGTAATCTCGACTGTTTAATATATCTCAAATTCATTGACAAGAAATCACTTCCTTGCTTAGGCGTTGCTATCTCAGTATCTGGGCATGGGGGAGTCCAGCGCAAAGATAACATTCTGACTATAAGCTGTGTAATACTGCTTTTTAATATGTGAACAGACTTTTTGTGTTTTTTTTTTTTTTCCTCCAACATTTGCAAATCTGTATCAACATGCTTACTGTAATCAGCATTTAAATTAGTCTTTGAGGTTATGTGAGGTTATGTGCTGGAGGTTAGTGGGTTTTTCCCCTTGCATTACATTACTATATCTATAAACAAATATTTATATACACTCTGTTTCTGGCTGTAAGAGTAGATTGAGATCGGTCTTTGAGACAGTGGTACTACTATGTCACTGTCCAGAGAAACCACTTGGAATGGTGCCCAGTGTTGTCCTGCCCCATCTTCCCTGGGGAGCAGCGGAGCGTAGCATCTGGGAAGTCAGCGTGGGTTTGCTGGTGGAAGGGCAGGCTGCTGACGGTTCAGAAATTCTGCAGAAGCTGCGTTTTACATTCAGAAAGAGATGCCTGCTCTTTTTATAGTATCCTAGTTGCTGTCAGTGTATCTCTGTGAGGGAGCCCTTTTGTTCAGTGCCACTCTATTTTGACAACAGTGTGCATCCAAACCCATTAAATTATAGCATTTGTTGATAAGCCTCGTGCAAATGCATAAGGAAAACTTCTGATTTAAATGTAAGAATAGCAGCCCTGGCTTTGTGCCAGTTATGAGAGATTAGCTCATTATTTATTTACCGATTCATTTAGTAAGGAATTTATATCTGTAACATCTAGTAGTTAAAATTTACATAAAATTAAAATTTATATACAATTACATTAGTAATTTTAAGGGAGTTGTTTCTTTTGACTGGATTTACACTCTGGTCTTGTTGTCTAAGTGTGTAGTTATTATGACTGCATTTTTTGTGCTGCAAGATTTGCAGCTGCCTGTGTCAGAGACGTGAATTGTAAGGCTGTTACCTTTTTGAGAGTTCATTTCATCAGGAATCTGTCAGCTTGCAGGCATTGCTGTTGGCTGGAGTTGCAATTAAGGGAGCTATGGAGACTTAGAATAAATGCATGAGATAGTTGTAAAGACGAAGCAGATTCAGGGGGCCAAAGCAAGTCACATACGTGTTGGATGAAGTATCTTAGAAATACATTCGAACGTACTCACATGTTGATTGAATGCTTGATTGTGCTGGGTGACTACTGAAGGGGGTTGTTGAATTGGGGGAACCTGTTTGACTATGCAATTTTTTTTTTTCAGAAACCTAGGAAAGGGGAAGGCAGGTCAGAATCGCCTAATGATGTCTCTTTCAGTACAACAGATTCTCTAATGCCTTCTGCTTAGTGCTTGATAATGAAAAGCATTCTGACAGCTTCAGAAAGTCCTTGATGAAAAGCAGAGACTAATGTGTTTTTCTTGGCTTAACTTGTTTGTTTTGGGGGTTAAGTTTAAATTTAGAAATTTGGGCAATGCAGGCGTTACTACTAAGTTTTACAGGAATGCTGGTTTGTATAAGCTATATCATTTGCCTGGAAAGAGACTTTTGAAAAACAAGTAAAATCAAGGTGTCTGGTAAGGAAACAATAACAGCATTTCCTTTTTAGGCATTTTCTGGATTGCCTGGGAGGACCTGTGCCAGTACTATGATGTTATTTATTTGAGTTGGAACCCAAGTCTTTTTAAAGAATCTACATGTATTCACAGGTTGGTCCAAGAGATAAAACTTTTTGTGTCGGTATCTCACTAGATGTTCTGATGTGATGTTTCCTTCCTTCCATTCTTCCTAGTTACAGCTGAAGAAGTTGAACTCCAAGCTGAAGAAATTGAACTCCAACCATGCTCTCTTGAGCCTGACTTTACACTTTTCAATTCTCAGCCCAGGCTTTGGTTTTGACTACTTCTGTAACATCGTTGAAACTCCAGTGACCTTTGTGATGTTGCTGTGGACCTAAGGTTGCGTAACCAGATTCTGACCTCAGTCCCACATCTCTCTGTTGGCATAGAAGTCAGATTTTTCTGCAGTCCATCTTTACGCAGTGACCAGACAGTGCTTGAGCGACCTAGTTTTTATTTGGAATTCATTTTCCTGGCCAGTTGCAAGTTGTTCATGCAGCGCGTGTTGTCTTTACAGGGTGTGTTCACTGATGTCGGAGGAGTTCAACTAATTCTGTTTTTCACCAGTTGTAGTTATCATAAGTAATCTTCCTTGCCTGCTGGGGTTTTTTTTCTGAACATGATACCTGTCTTCTACTTAGTATCCATCACATTCAGTCTTTTTGTCACCCAGTTTGAGGATAAGTGTGTGTCTCGGTTTCAGAAAGCAAGGGTTTCCCTGTTTTTCCACTCCACTGTGCTGCACTTTGCCACTCCTTCTACACTGTGTCTGTGTATCTTAGCTCTGCACAAGCTCCTTCATCCATAGTGCAACTGCTGAGTTATCTCTAAAGGCTCCTTCCATCTTTGTGTTCAAATTAATTCTAAAATACACCGTGGTGATGTAGCGAGATGAAGTAACGTGTATGCTAATCTCAAAGCTCATCTACTAGTCTGTCTTTCCTTATATTATTAGTGATTGTCATAGCTCTGTGTAGG